AATTAGTGAGTCCTTTCTGTTAATAAGTCCCAGTTTGCTGCATGAGAAAACAGCAAGCATTTATACATCTCTTGGTCAATGTAAAGGCAGCTTCAAGCTTTTGTATTGATGGTCAACTAACTGTACTCTCTATTGCCTTGGTTTTATTTAGAGCTCTACAGTCTCTCAACATTGAGATAATATGCTTAATTATCTGTGAAAATAGGAAACTTTCACATTTTTCCTACACTATACTCCAACTACCACATCTATATCAATTTGTTGAACCTATGTTTTTGTATCCTCCTTTATAATATTCTATCTATTTCTTTGTCATCAGCAAATTTGTGAACTATTCCTTCATCCCTTCATCTAAGTCATTGAAAAATTGTGAACAGTTGAGGTTCCAGATAGCGATTTTTCTCCATTTGTTGCACCTTGCCTGAAAATGACTCCTTTATGTCTACTCTCTGCTTCTTGTTAGCAAGCCAATGTTCTATTCATGTCAATGTGCTAGTCACTATAGCTTGAGCTTTTATTTTCCACACTTTGGTATGGCACTTTATCAGTTGTTTTCTTGAATTCTTAGTACAGTACATCCACTGGTTTCCCATTGTCCACAGCACTTGTTACTTCTTCAAAGATATGATCAGGTCAAGTCTGATTTTGTCTCCCATGATATCCACATCTATGTATTTTGAGCAGTAATCACTCAAAATAGCAACCACACTCAAGTGAAGGAAGTGCCAACGTAGTGGTAATGTCACTGGCCTAGTAATCCAGAGGCTCCGGTTACTGCTCTGGGAAAATGCCACCATGGACAGTAGTTGATGAAATTTGAATTCAGTTAATAGATATGGAAATAAAAGCTGGTGTAATTAGTGACCAAAGTCGCTGTAAAAATCAATCTAGTTTACTGAAGTCCTTAAGGAAGGAAATCTGCCTTGCCTTATCTGGTCTGTATGTGACTCCAGAACAACAGCAATGTGGTTGAATCTTTAATTCCCTTGGATATGGCCTAGCCAGCCACTCAGTTGTACAAAGCTGATACAATGTCCAGGAAAAGAAAGGAAATCGGGTGGACAACCCAGCATCGACCTAGGCATTGGCAATGGCAATGGCAAGGCCATTGTTGTTGACCCTGCAAAGTTCTCCTTGCTAACAGCTGGGGGCCTGTACCAAAACTGGGAAAGCTGTCTCGGAGGCAAATCAAGCAACAGTCTGAAATAGTCGTGGAATTGTACCTTTCAGACAGTATACCCTACACCATCTCCTCTATTCCTGGATATGGTGCACAAACAGAATTTGGTGGAAAAACTCAGTGGGTCTGGTAACATCTGTGGAGAGGAAAAGAGACAACATTTTGGGTCCAGTGACCCTTCTTCGGAACCCTTCTTCTGCCCCATCCACCAGACGTGGTGGCATGTTGTTATAGGTTGATGTGGAGGTGCCGGTGTTGGACTGGGGCAGACAAGGTCAAAAATCACATGACACCAGTTTATAGTCCAACAGCTTTACTTGAAGACAAAAGCTTTCAGACTCTCATTCCTTGAGGTGGCATCAGACGCGGAATTTATAAGCAAAAGATCAAAGGGTCATAAAACTGATGCAGTGTTGAACAAATCTAAGATGGCTTAGGGAGTAGGGAGCTGCCGTAAGAGTCCTCTGACAGTTAGTCTGGACCCCGTGAAGTCTCAGCTTCAGGTTTGCAACAGACATTGAGACACATACCTTCTTGTCCTTGTCCTAAACAATCTACCTGCTGCAGATGCATCTGTCCATTCAGCAGATCAGATCTAAACTCTGCAATCCTGCCACATTCAGTCATGAATGGTCTTGGCCAATTAAACAACTTACTGGAGGAGAAAGCTTCAAATTTCCATCCATAATGACTGGCTAACACAGCAGTGCAAAAGATAAGGCTGAAGCACTCGCAACAATCAAGGCTTATTTGGGTACTTTCTGTACCAAGGTAACTTATCGTAGTGTTTAATAGTTCTGTGCTAATTCTTCAATATGTTCCATGCTGGATTGTTACCTTGGCACCTCTCCTTGCCTTCCTGTTTCTTGGTTACAGGGTGGCATGAGGTACTGAAACAGGAAGTGAATCAAACTGAAGAAAATAGAAGTGTATGTAGTTAGACCATTAAATTAGAATAAAGTTACCAAGACAAACAGCAAGGACTCATGAGGTAAAGCATCACTTTTTCAATTTTGCAGCAGGTTATTAGAACAGTTAGGGTAAATGCATCAATTTGTAAAGTTAAAATTCTGTGAAATTAGCAAAGAGCTATTAATACCCAAAGCTAGTTTTAGGATGGCAGATCATTTGTTTCACTATTATTCCTCATTCCAGTTATGAAGAAGAAAAACATAGATTTCATGATGTTATATCTCAATAATTTTACGTTTTACTCACTGCATTTCATTGGAAGTACAGACTCCAAGGAATGAGACTTCTCCATTTAAATAAAAACTTCAGGAATTTAAAAAATAACCTGCATACAGAAAATTGTGTTTGAGTTGGCAGTTTTATTAAATCAACTGACGGAAGAATTTTTCCACCATGATGTTGGGTTTGTGAAAAATGCACTGAGAAAAATTAGCTGTTATTACTGAGTTAGTTGACTGAGAACCTCATGAAGGATCAATTTGCAAAGTAAACTAGGAAAGACTTCAATACCTTTTTTTAAATAGTCTCACCCTAGGGTACAGATTTTTGAATGCATCCATCATTGATAGACTTTACATTTTAGATTTCATAAATGCAATATCTCAACTAGTCAGCTCAGTTGTCAGTGGTTGAAAATAATTAATTAACTTTCTGGAAGTTTACCAAATCACTTTAGCCAGCTGTGCAATCATACCCTTCCTATTCACACTACTCTCTCTGTGAAAAAGTTACCCCTCAGGTCCTTTCTCAATCTCCCCCCCCCCCGCCCCCGCACTTTGAACCTATGTTCTCTAGTCTTTGGATTCCCCATCCTAAAACAAAAAAACCCATACCGTTCATGATTTTTATAAACCTCTGTAAAGTCACTCCTCAGTCCCTGCTGCGCCAAGAAAAAAAGCCCCAGCCTATTTAACCTCTCCCTATAGCTCAAAACCTTCAGTCCGGGCAATATCCTTGTAAATCTTCTCTGCACCCTCAAGTTTAACAACATCCTTCCTGTAGAAGGGCAACCAGAATTGTATGCAGTATTCCAAAAGTGGCCTCACCAATGTCCTGCACAACCGAAACATGACATCCCAACTCCTACACTCAGTGTTATGACCAATAAAAGCATGCATACCAAAAGCTGCCTTCACCACTCTGTTGACCTGTGACTCCACTTCCGAGGAACTATGCAGCACTCCTGGGTCTCTTTGTTCAGGAACACTCCCCAGAGCCCTATCATTAAGTGTAAAAGTCCTGACCTGGTTTGCCTTACCTAAATGTAACACCTCCCACTTATCTAAATTAAACTCCGTCTGCCACTCCTCAACCCATTAGCCCATCTGATCATGGTCATGCTGTACTCTGCGGTACTCTTCTTTGCTCTCCAGTACACTACCTATTTTGGTGTCATCTGCAAACTTACTAATCACATTTCCTATATTCACATCCAAATAATTTATATAAATGATAAAAAGCAGTTGACCCAGCATCGATCCTTGTGGCACACCGCTGGTCACAGGCCTCCAGTTGGAAAGACTACCTCTACCACCACCCTCTGTCTCTAACCTTCAACCCAGTTTTGTATCCAGTTGGCTGGCTCCATTTGGATCCCATGTGATGTAACCTTACTAATCAGTCTACAATGCGGAACCTTATTAACTGCTTTGCTGAAGCCCGTATCAACAATGTTTACCACTCTGCCTTCTTCAATCATCTTTGTCAACTCTTCAAAAAACTCTTTCAAGTCAGTGAGATATAATTTTCCACTCACAAAGCCATACTGACTGTCCCTGATCAGTCCTTGCCTTTCCAAATGTAAATCTTGTCCCTCAGAATCCATTCCAACAATTTACCCATCACTGATGTAAGGCTTACTGGCCTATAGTTTCCTGGCTTTTCCTTGCAGCCTTTTTTAAAATAATAGCACCAAATTAGCTAAAATCCAGTCTTCCGGCACCTCCGCTGTGACTGTTGATACAAATATCTCAGCAAGCGACCCAGTTATGTATTGATCTTTCCAAAATCAGGTGAACAAGAATGAAAAAGACTTCAATTTGGATATTGTCTGCGGCACGTGGCAATGTCACTGATCTAGTAATTCAGAGGCCTAGGCTAATTCTTTACGGATGTGGCTGCTGATAGAATTTAAATTAAATACCTAAATGTAGAACATTAAGAAATGGTGACTACAAAAATGTTGGTATAAAAACCCATCTGATTTACTAAATATCCTTGCCCGGTCTGACCTGCACGTGACTCTTAGACCCACAGCTATGTGGTTGACTCTTAACTGCTCTCTGAAATAGCTTAACAAGCTGACTTAGTTTCAAGGCAAATGAAGGAGGGGTAACATGTGCTAGCTACAACAATATGTATATCTCCTGAAAGAATACGTTTCCCCATTTTTCCCAAATATTACCCACCTTAGGCTCAATACCCCTTCACTATTCCTAGGGGAAAATAAATGGCAGAGGAAAGAACTTCATACCCAGTGCTGCCTTTGTTGTTAGTATACTGACCATTAATAGTTGAACAAAGCTTTTAGTTTAAATGAATCACCTCGTAATTTTTCTGTGTAAATTAGAGGGCCTCAGGCCTGCTCCAAATGTGATGCTGCTGGCAAAGTCAGGAGCTTACTATTAAGATAGGAACATATGCCCCACCAGTCTGTAGTTTGGCCCAGAATATTTAACGAACTTTGTCATCAAGTACCCCACCTATTTTTTTGGATTTTGGAGAATGTGAGAGATTTAGACATACCATGATTTTTTAATTAATCATATATTTCTCATAATGGCTTACAGTATTTATTTCACAGTGTAACCAAGCAACCGTCATAACAGTTTTGCTATTTTGTTGCTAGGGTAAGTTGCCAGTGCTGCTGCTAGGCCGCTCCACAGACTTGAGACCTGGCGAGTTTGTGGTGGCCATTGGAAGCCCTTTTTCCCTACAAAATACAGTGACCACAGGAATAGTGAGCACAACTCAGCGAGGAGGAAAGGAGCTGGGCCTTCGAAACTCCGATATCGATTACATTCAGACGGATGCGATTATCAATGTATGTTTGACACAGATGCACTTTTTGCAGGAAAAAAATTTACTCAAACTTTGCCATAAATCATATTTTGATTTGAAAATTATTTCTCTTCTATTCCGTAGTATGGAAACTCAGGGGGGCCATTGGTCAATTTGGTAAGACTGTTTTCTTTCTGATTTGTGTGATAACAGCCTAATTTTCATTTAAGCTTTATTGCTGTTTTTCTCTTTAGTTCTAGTTTTATGCTAATCTTTCAAAGTAGTTTTCTTTAATAGTTATTGGGGTTTTAAACCTAACCCTGCATTAACACTTAGACAGAAATATACATTACCACTCCACATTTCTCAATTTCTTTGAACTTTGTGGGGATTTCTATCTAATGCAAATAAGTTTCTCTATTCTGACAAAATAACCGGTTAATTGCATATCTGTACATTGTTTCATTTAGGATGGTGAAGTTGTTGGAATTAACACCTTGAAGGTGACTGCTGGAATATCATTTGCAATTCCATCAGACAAAATTCGACAGTTTTTGGTGGAATCGTATGACCGACAAGTGAAAGGTATGCATATATTTTTGGTTCTTTAACATAATAAATTGTATAAAGCCCTGTTTGCAGCTGTGCGGTGCCATTTTAAAATTTTCTTCTGGATATTGGAAGCTTATAAAACCTAAAATCAATGTAGTTAACCCATCAATTTTGTGGTGAGATCATGTCCTGGCTCTCTGTGCTGTGAAGTGTTTGGCAGCAGAGATTTCCCAAAAGGAGAATTCTCCTGAAGCAGAGTTGGATACAAAGGTTAGCATGTGTTGTTCTTGTCCAGCAATTAATTGCAAACTTCTGCTGTTGGTATCTGGGACCTCTTGCTGCTTGTTCAGTAGGACAGAGGAGGGTAGCTGGTATGAAACAATGAAGAAACCATACCAAAGCATTGGTAAATGATAATTCCAGAAAATACAAATTGGTTCTCAAACGGAAAACTTTCTGACCGCTCAGTTGGTTACCATGTTGGTTGTTCCTGCCTGCAATCTGAATTCTTATCCAACCTAGGTTGAAGCACTTAAAGTAATTTTACTTTCTGTCCATTGTGACTGTGGATTTGTACACTGGATCTGGCCAGTTGCGCATCAATTCCTAGTGGGCGCAAGACAGCTCACATTTGAGTAGCTCAGACAGAAATATTTAACCCTTTCTAAAGGAAAATGTATTAATAGTTTGATGCAGAGGAAGATGCGGACATATATACAGATACCAGAGATATGGAAATCATTCTGAATTACTCTGTTAAAGAGTTGATTATGTTGCTTTGGTATGAATGGGCTTTGTTGTAGCTGGGTCCTTATTCAAGCAGTTCCAGGACAGCTACAGCATACGTATCTGCCTGACGATATGGAAAATTATACAGAAATGTCCTGTGCAAAAAGACCGGAGCAAATCAATCCAACTAATTACTGCCCAATCAGGCTACACTCTCTTGTCAGCAAAATGACAGTTGGGGTCATTTGACAGTGCTAGTAACTAGAAATGTCTGAACAATAATCAGCTCACTGATGTTAACATTGGGTTACACAAGGGCCAGTCAGCTTCTGACCTCACTATAGATTTGTTTTAAACATGGACAAAGGAGCAATTCACTTCCTGAAAAGATGGTGGAAACATAGTACTTGAATATTTTTAAGGCAGAGGTAGAAAGATTCTTATTAACCAAGGGGTGAAAGGTAGTAGGCAGGAATGCAGATTTGAGGAAACAATCAGATCACCCAGACCTTCTCATGCTCCTTGTTTGTTTGTATATTCACGTGCTACAAATCAGACAGGTTACTGCAACCAAGTGGGCTTTTGAAGAATTGTTAGCTTGTATTTTCTCTCCTTTTACGTTCTTCTCTCTGCCTTTGATGTGCACTTGTTTCCAGAGGAAGCTATACCTTTCTTCAGTTGAGGCCTTTTCTAGAATACTGTATCCAGTTCTTGTCGGCCAGTTACGGGGAAGATATTATTAAGCTGGAGAGGGTTCAGAAGAGGATTTACCAGGATGTTGCCTGGTATGGAAAGTTTGAGTTATAAAGAGTGGCTGGATAGTTTGGGACTTTTTTCACTGGAGCATAGGAGGCTGAGAGACAACCTGATAGAAGTTTGTAAAATAATGAGGGGTATAGATAGAGCTAATGGTAGTTGTCTTAGGATGGGGGATTTCAAGACTGGGGGGCACATTTTTTTTTAAGTTGAGAGAAGAGAGATTTAAAAAAGACATGCAGGGCATATTTTTCTTACACAGAGGGTAGTTTGCACATGGAATGAACTTCCTGAGGAAGTGGTGGATGTGGGTACAGTTACAACGTTTGAAAGACATATGGATAAGTACATGAATAGGAAAGTTTGCGGGGATATGGGCCAAAACACACAGGTGGGACTAGTTTAGTTTGCGATTATGCTCAGCATGAACTGGTTGGACCGAAGTGTCTGTTTTGGTGCTGTATGACTCTGATTCTATTTGGCTGTAATAGATGCCGCAGTCCTGGGGGGTTTTCTCCTAGGATTCCATGCTGATATTAAAGCTCCAAAGTGAAGCCTTCAAAGTGTCCTCGGGGCCATGAGAATGCACCTCAGACTTGAATGTCCCATACAAGTTTTCCTTTGGTAAGTGAGTGTCGGGCGTTCTGTCTACATGGCAGCCCAACTCGGTTGTGATGCTCTCAAAATGGTGTAGATGTTTGGCAGGCCAACTCAGGCAAACACCTCATTGCCTGGTATTTTGCCCTGTCATCTGAACTACAGAAACTTCTGAAGGCAGTTCAAGTGAAAGTATTAGAGTTTTTTGTCCTGACGCTCGTGCACAGTCGAAGAACAAAGTGGGCAGGATAATTGCTGCGTTGGCTCTGTTTGGTCTGCAGATGTACTCTTGTTTCTTCCACACCTGCTGTTCGAAGTCTGGCAAAGACTGCATTTGCTTTGGCAATTCACGCACATGTCTCACCATCCATCGAGAGAGCCCACTGCAGTGAGCTACTGAGATAAGTGAACTCGGCCACTGTTGACAGGTTCTGGTCATGGACTGAAACCTGGGGCTTGAGAGAAGATTTTCTGGAGCAGGCTGGTACATTACTTCAGTTTTCTTTTGTGCTGATGGTAAAGCCAAAGTGTTCACCTCCATTGCCGAACAAGTTCATGCTACGTTGCATGTCCAGCTCTGATCCTCTAGTTAGTACAGTCCTCTTCAAACAGAAAATTGCCAAGTATGGCGTTGCTGGAATCATCTCAAATCTCTAATACTGTGTTTGTGTTTGTGAAATGACCATTGTAACCATTAGGCAGTATAGCAGGCTTCAAGAAGGTGTGACAATTAGGTAACAATCACAGCCATGTGAAGGAGGTAAGAACAGTCATCAAGTAATAAATGGCAAGGAAGCAATAATAATGGAAAAGAAACGGAGACAACATTGATGTGAAAGAAACATGGGCAATAATAGTGCAACACGGAAGTGGGAGTTGGAAGTGTGCAATTAACACACGTCGTGCATCAATGAGGTAAAGGAGCTATCAACTGCCATTTCAAAATTCCAATTTACGCAGATGGGTTAACACCCAAAATCAAGGACCCTCACCAATTTGGGGGTCGGGGGAGGGGGAACTGGGTCCTCAAACAAATGTGGAGCACTCATTAAAACCCACAAATGAAAGAAAAAAAGCAAATAAAGCAGAGAAACTTCAGGCACTCCATGGCTCAAAATATTCTCTCATTTAAAATACTGTCAGAAAAGGGTGAAACAAAATCTTCAGATCTGTGTTTTAGTGGAAATGGAGAATTTTGCAGAATGGCCCATAAATCAGTTTTGTACATTTTTTTTTATATTGTCCCAGCTGTGACTCGCTGCACTAAGTGTTGCAAAGATAGTTCACCGTTCCTCAGGTTGAATAGTTAGATTGCGTCTAGAATTCTAGGTACGTTAGAACATTAATATGTACTGATTCTATTTGTCCTTGCAAGTGCTGACAGGCGCTAAATTGTATTTCTTTTGATGCAACTGTTTAAATTTGGATTCATATGCGACAATGCTGTCAGATTTCGAGCTAGAGCTTATGTTTGATGTCAGAGTACAAGAACCAATACTTGAGACCACTTTTAATGGCATTATGTTATCCATTGCCTATTTTCAAAAATGTCTTCAAATAAGTTTGATTCCTAATGGCTCAGACTCCTAACCATTACGCAGATAAATTGAAAGAATGGACAAGACCTAAGTGGAAGTTCTGTCCATCTGCAATGTTTGAAATTACTGCCAGACATTCATTCATAGCATGGACAAATTGTTCCCTCTTTCATAACTGTAATATTGTCAGTTAAAACAAGAAATCTATTAAGCAATAGCTTTGCAATCAAGAACATGTTGCTAACAGTACCACATTTACGCTGGAGGATAATGCCAAGATGTGTCCTGACTGAAAGCCTTTAATGCAGGTCTCAAACAGTACAAATACCATTTTTTTTTTGTTAACCTCAAAGATTACCACTTTTGGGCTGGAACAATTTGAGGGACAGATGCACTATTCCTTTCCTAATTATGTACTAAATATTTCTGTCAGGATTTCTTCACTTGCTATGTGTAGCAATATTAAAAATGTCTTTTTTTGTGGGAATTTCCACTGCTAAGTGTCTCTGAAATTGTAAGGTTAATGGAATGACGTTTATTTTCTGATGGCCCAGTAATATTCTAATAGATACATTTGAAAATCTAGACAGACAATAATTTATGTAAAATGTGTTCAGAAATCTAATGTTTGCCAGAAAGAGATTCTTTTCCAAGTAAGTTTATTTTATTGTGTTGTTTTTCAGGACAGGTTCCAATAAAAAAGAGGTATCTAGGAGTTAGGATGATGACACTTACCCCTAGGTGAGTAAGCCTGAGAGGTATTTTTGCGTAGAACAAGGTATTTTTGAATAGAGGTAGGTACAATAAGTTAGTTCTTAAAGGATAGCGATTTGTGTCAGAGGTTTGTAATATGAATCCTAACCTATTTTGGCTGTTGCTGCTTCATTGTAAACAATTTATCTTCTGGAATACACAGCTGCAAGCCACTTAACCTCTTAATGGTTAATGTAATATGAATACTTGGTATTGATAGACTATTTTCCATTGGGCTGACAACATTGTAAATGTGCCACTATTGGATCAAATAGCCATTCAGCACCCCTGTGATACTGTCAAGATTTCAGCTCCGAGTAGAGACTGACACTGAAGTCTGCTACTTTGTTGGGCATTGATTTTAGTTGCTTAAGCATCACCCTGCAGTATAAACAGTTATCATATGGTTTGCCTAACACGACTCCAATTAACTGTTCAGCATTAGGATGTAATGAATGCTTGCTGCTGAATGAATATAACTTTAAAAACTGTGAAATTGGCTTAACTCTTCACTTGTTGCTAAACTGTATTAATGCAACATTTTATATTGGAGGCTGAGAGGAACCAAAGTAATGGTGACAGAATGTAAAATGGATCAAAATTTATGTAGCTGATTGCTTATGATAATTCCCATAGGTCTTGAGTGTTCTTGGAACATTGACTTGCTAAGATGGTCTGTCATCTCAGAAAAGGATTTTCAGTCATACTTGCGGAGCAATGCTATATAGGACCATACAAATGTACCTGGCAAATCCTGGCTGTTTTAGGATGTAGTCAATTTATCAAGATCAGGGAAAAACTATAAAATGACTGATTTTCTTAACATAGTTGTAATATATGTTTTCATGGATTGTAATGGGAATTTCATTAGATGCAGAACATTTCAAAATATGCAGATTCCTGATGGTGATATTTGAGAGGTGGGCTTGCAGCATTAAAGAAACCAAAGAAATTACAAGACACTACATGGATCTAAACAAAATGATGAGAATTTTATATTTGAGCAGTTTGGGGACTGAAAGTTAATGTAGGTCTTTGAGGACAAATGTGGTGGACTAATGGAATTTGCTGCAGAATTGGTCAATGGATGGTGGAGGTATCTGATTCACGACCTTTGAGAACAACAAAATCACTATCACTGTTTTAAACAAATAAACCTATATTTTTGAAATGTTCTGTATTTACCAATAAGAGGAAACATCTCCACATCTTTCTCAAGACCCCTCAGGATCTTTTATGTTTCAATCAAGTCACCTTTTACTTATCTGAACTCCAGCAGATAGAGTCCAACCTGTCAGACCTTTCCCAACAAGACAGCCCATTGAATCCAAGGAATTAGTCTGGTAAACCTCTGAACTGCTTCCACTGTATTTTCTTCCTTAAACAAAGTGGCCATTTCTATACACAGTATTCCAGATGTGATCTCACTAATACCCTGTACAATTGAAGCATAGTCTGCCTGCTTTTGTATTCACTTGCCGTCACAATGAAAATAGCATTTTACTAGCTTTTTAAATTACTTTCTGCACCTGTGTACTGGCCATTGTGATTCATGAGGAACTACAGGGAAGAAAGGGGGTATGGTTGGGAAGGTGATGGTAATAGGTGGTCTGGGGGTGGGAGGAGAAAGTGGCCCGGGGAGGAAGGGTGAACAAAGACTGTGAGGAGGGTTGTCAAAGGGGGATGCTGCACGGAGGTGGAGGCCACAGTGAGGCTACATGATCGAGGATAGGCTGCGAGTGAGTGTAAAGGGAGAAGGTGAGGCTGTGATGGGGTATGGGGGGGAGAAGGAAGCTGCAAGAGGATAGAAGGAGACTGCAAATGAGACAATAGTTTAAGACCTGTTATCCAAAGAATTCTCAGCTAATGAGGAGCCAGAAAACCTGGAACCACTGAAGTCATGAATTTCTTGCAAATGAATGTAGAATCCCTAGCTTAATGCATATGCTCAGAAGCTAGTGCATGGAGAAATATATAGTGGGGGCTATTGTAGTGAACACTGTTAATTGTTAAACTTGAATCTGAACTTAAGTTCTGAGATGCATTGAAAGTTGTTGTAACTACTGGTTAAAATCTTCTAGCTTTGTGTATATGCAATGGAAATGTATTGCTTTAATTGTTCCAGTGTTTAAGCAGGAGCATTTTGCAGCTGAAATATGGATGTCCACCAGACGTCCAACAAACCAGAGACACTAGAGGGTGAAAGAAATAGGGTGGTGTATTTTTTATTTGTGTGTGTGTGAGAGAGCTGGTCGTATGCCTAAAGATGACCATGCTTCCCTGTGGCACTTAGATAAAGAGGAATAGGGCAAGGATGGATGGGAAGCAACATTATAGGAGTGAGGAAAACCTTTAACTGAGTAGAACCAAGCAATAAAATTAGAGAAATAAATAAAGCTGACCAATCAAAATTAATGGTATGTTGGTTGCAAGTATTGAATCATTTGCATGATATTCAGTGGTATTTTGCTTTTTTTAAAAAAAAAAATTGAAACGTTGATTCAGACTGTTACCACAATAACTTCAAACATATTACCTATCCATCTCAGCATTTGAATTCAGTAACACATCATGATGGAAGATGATCTTGCTTTGACCAAAAAATAAAATCACTAAATTAAAAAGATTTGGTGCAGTTTTCTATTTGAATTTGTATAGTTTTGCAGAGTCTTAGTTGTTTTTCAGCTTTGCAAAGGAACTGAAAGAGCGCCAGAAGGATTTTCCTGATGTTAATGCTGGAGCCTACATCATCGAGGTCCTTCCGCGAACACCAGCTTCCAGGTAAGAGAAGGAAATAACTTCCGTATGTTTAAACATGCCTAGTACTTTAATCTCATTTGAATCTTTGTGGAAAGCTATTCAGTATGAAAACCATTGAGTTGCATTTCCTTTTATTCCATAATTGTGGGCATTAGGTTCAAATGCACAAAGTTCCTTAATTTTAAAGCCAGAACAAATCAAAAGTGGAAATTATTACTCAAAGATTTCATATCTTTATGCCAGCATTATTTGTGGGGCACTTTAAAACAGAGAAGCTTTCAGATTGAGGTATGATATTCTACGTAAGTAGTCAGGAGAAGGATGAGACATGTATGCTCCCAGATCGAAAATCCTGCAATTTATCTCTGAAGACTGAATCCTCCTAAAAGTAAAATTTCAGGGAATTTCAAAGGCTTGAAGATAAACCAGTTATAATTAGCATCTGGTAAAGGTAGAGTAAATACTTGCACTGGTAACTGAATTCATCATCCTCCGATCTAAATATGGGAATGTATAGATTAAAAAATCTACACGGTACAGGAATTTTCTTGCAATACTTGAGAAACATAAAAATAAATAATTATTTGAGCACTGCGTGGAATGACAATGTAAAGATGTTCTTATTACATTTAGGTGGCATATGAACTAGTGTGAAAATCTATTCTTCCCTGATTGCTGCAGCTTTTGACAAAAACTTGAGCTTCTGGATTTTTTTGTGAACTCTTGCCCAGTTGTATATCTGATGATACATCCCAATCAATGTTTTGTAAAGGAATTCAATGTGATAGGCCAAGTTACTTTAAAATGAAACAGATGGTGCTAAATTATGTGGAACTGTTTAATACTAGGCACATGCTGAGCAAAGACTTCTGGGTGTTGAAATGCCAGCAAATTATCTTGTTGTCTCCTACAAATTTTTGAAACTTAAGCTTGCACTGAAAATATATCTCATTTTTCTAGGTTAGGGAGTGTGTAAGAGTTTGATTTTGGTATAATGGATATTCTGATGACTCAAAATATTCTGAAGGATGGACAGGAGAGAATGGAATTATACAGTTAAGAGATGAGAAGGACATGGCTATGGGTGTCAGCAGCAGGTAGGCTGAGGCAGGAGTGGGGCTGAGTGATGTTATGGAGCTTGAAGTAAGTGCTCTTAGCAATGGAGCAGCTGTATAATCTCAGGCATGCTTCGCAATGGTTGGCATGGATGTGAAAAGGTCTCGATTAGAGTGAAGGATGCAGGAGATGAAATGTGCTATTGTGGTGGTTTACAGATCGTGCAGATTGTGAATTGTGGTGAGTTGCGTTCTGAGTGACCTCTGTCTTTAAAAGGGTTCCAAACAGTGCAGCCCCAGAAAGTAGCACAGATGGGGAGGTAAAGGCCTAGTGGTTTTATTGCTGGACTATTAATCCAGAGACCCAGACAAAGTTCTGGGGCCCCAGGTTTGAATCCTGCTTCGGCAAATACAGAGCAGCTGCATGATATTTTCTCAAAAGTGAGACAATAATAAGACTGGTACAACAGGGAAATGACAGGGTAGAGTGTCAAAATTAGCATTAAAAAATGTACAAATGGATAATTAAAGGAATGCTGTCAAACTGCAAACTTAGATTCCAAGAGTCGCAGGCCACCTTCAACAGCATGTCAGGGCAACATTTTTTAAAAATTATTCATGGCGTGAGGGCGTCACTGGCTAGGCCAGCATTTATTGCCCATCCCTAATTGCCCAAAGGGCAGTTAAGAGTCAACCACATTGCTGTGGGTCTGGAGTCACATGTAGGCTAGATCAGGATGGCAGTTTCCTTCCCTAAAGGACAGTAGTGAACCACATGGGTTTTTCTGACAATGTACAATGGATTCCATTAGTCTCTTAATTCCAGATATTTTCTAATTGAATTCAAATTCCACCATCTGCCGCGGCGGGATTCAAACCTGGGTCCCCAGAACGTTATCTGGGTCTCTGGATTAATAGTCCAGTAATAATACCATTAGGCCATTGCCTCCCCATCTGAGCTGCTCTCTGGGGCTGCACTGTTTGGAACCCTTTCATGGGCAGAGGTCACTTGGAACCCAACCCACCACAATTCACAATCTGCGCCCAGAATTTGCCTCCTGCCAAAATACGCAGCGATTATGGGTGTCTTGCAGGTAGTGAAATCATATGATTCAGGTTTTGTGAGCAGAGATTAGAGATTTGCCTCTAAATGATACATTAGATACCTTTGAAACTTGCCACAAGTTATTGTGCTTGGAATGTATTAGAGGGTCGCAGTTTGATGACGTGGGATAGGCCATTTAGGACTGAGATGATGAAATTGCTCCGCCCAGAGAGTGGTGAACCTGTGGAATTTTCTGCCACAGAAAGCAGTTGAAGCCAAAACATTGAAAGTTTCAAAGAAGTAGTTAGACACAGTTCTTAAGGCTAAAGTGATCAAAGGGTACGGCCGAACGTGAGAACAGCGTACTGAGATGGACCATCAGCTATAATCATATTGAATGGCCTACTTCTGTTCCTATTTTCTATATCTATTTTTCTATTAAGTGAGCAATCTTTCTCCATATTAGATACTTCCCACAGTTATTTTTAGTATCTTATGCATTCATTTGTTCAAGAAAATCTTGTGAAATATTTACTTACTTCCAAATGTCCAAGTATAAATTAAAATTAAATTAAACAGTTATTTGAAAATAAACATAGCTAACTAAAGATAAATGAAGGAAGTCGAACAAATTGTTTATTAGCAATTACGTAGTTAGTTTCTGACTCCTGTGATTTAGAGTGGATTGTTCTCAGGACCTTTTATATTTGGACCTATCTTGCTGAAATACCACTAGTGTTCAAGTCATCTAATTGTCCCTTTGCAGTTTTTCTTGGACAGTCAATGAAGTTCAGTTTATTTGAGTAAGCGTGAGTAGAGCAGAGGCAGTGCATTCACCAGCAAGTTGATATGCTGACTATTTGAATGCATGCCAAACAGCTAACTAAAAGGGGAAAAGGAAGGGAAGGTACTATCTCAGGACCTTCGTCTCACCACCTCCCCAAGTTTGTTGCTGTGCCTCATCCAATAATGTTGATAGTATAGTCTACTAGAGACATGAGCAATTGCAAAATGGCCAGCCCTCATTCTGTTTTGTACAAGTTTTATTTCATTTTCAACATTTATCAGTTGACTTCTTATGTGCATGTCAATAGGGAAAAAAATCAACCCAGGAATTTAAGAGGACAAGATAGTTCCAAGAGTAGTAGCAGCTTTTGAGAGTTTTTAATGCAAGTTAAGGGAAATGCAGTGGCGCTTCTGCTGACATTGGGAGATCCAAAGCAAGTAGTCATGACTTTTCTTCAGAAATAAATGTTATGTTGGACTCAACATTCACTGTTCTTCTGTCTCTACAAATGCTACCAGAACTGTTGAGTTTCTCCAGAGCTTTTTTGTTGTTATTAGGGCAGAAGAATAATTCATAATGCTGATGGAAAATTGTCATCTTTGATGGACAGTGAGAAAGTAACAGAGATCGAGAGTATCTCTTGTAATCATCTTATTAGAAATTCTAATTCCCATGACCCCACAGCAGCTGGTATTAATGTGAACCTTAATCTCATGAAAGACCACATGACTTTCCTTCAGAGCAGAAATGTTTACACTACTGCACAGTTTCTCTAGTATTCTCTATTTGTTTCTGATTTCTAGCATCTGCAGCATTTTCCCTATCATTTGAGAAGTTTTAAAAGTGTTTTGAATTGTTTAAGGTACGGTTGAAAACAATGCTGCGAGAGCTGTAGAGACCTTGATGGATGAGCTAAGTTGGGTCAAATGGTCATAGAATCCAGGAATCTCTATGGTGTGAAAAGAGGCCATTCAGCCTATCGAGTCTGAATTGACCCTCCGCAGAGCATTACATCCACACCCCACCCCCTGCCATCTCTGTGACTCTGCATTTACCCAGGCTAATGCACCTGGCTTGCATATCTCTGGGCACTTCTGGCAATTTAACATGGCCAATCCACCTAACCTGCACAGGAAACTGGAGCAGCTGGTGGAAATTCATGCAGACACGGGGAGAATGCGCAAACCCCACTCTTGCTAAATACAGCCATCAACAATAGTTGATGGTTGTCATCCTCATGCATATTTGTCTTTTCCAGTTCCTCATTCTGCTGGCAGAAGGTTTGTGTGGTGTAAGCAGGTACAAAAACATGTTTGGAGAGCAGTAAAATGACACTGAGTCTGTCTGTATGTCAAATGAAGCCAGAATAATGAGCCATTCTCCTCTTATTTTCCTTCGCAGGGGTGGCCTGAAGGACAATGATGTGATTATTAGTATCAATAAACAATTGGTGACTTCATCCAGTGACGTCAGTGAAGCCATTAAAAAGGATCCAAACCTGTCAATAGTGGTTCGCCGAAGCAATGAGGATGTGATAATAAATGTTGAGACTGAAGAAATTGAACCTTAAAGTGAGCTGGATCTCCTTGCCAATATGACTGATATAACAAAGAATCTGGATCTACATAATAGCTTATCAACCTGTTGATACTTTATTGCACAACACCAGGAGATATCTGCAGCTTGGATATATTCCTGTCTAGGGTTACAAGCTGAGATGATCCTGAAGCTATTGAAAATTAAAACCTGTTTCCTCCTTGCATTTCCTTGATTTATCCTTTTTTTTTCAGCTTCATTGTATTGTAATCTACTTTTTATTGAAATGTCAATGCGAACAATTCACTTGCAAGAATTTTTATTTCATAATGTTGGGGATTTATACATTATTGCTATAGGTATCAAACCTCTTAAAATACAGATGTGTGCAACTGTGTGTGGGAGTCTGGCAGGTTTTAAATGTTGACACAAGTTTTTTCTTTTTGCCTTTTGGGATATTCGAATGCAATAACCTGGCTGCCCACAATATAGAGAACTTATGAAATAATTTTGGGAATGTTTGTCAAAATTTGTTCTTCACGTCCCCCTCCCTTTTGCTCCCCACCCATCCCTACCGGTTTGTGCTTGTGTTTGCTCCAAATCAGAAATTTCATAAGGTTCAGATATTAAGGAGCCAAATTACTTCAGAGAGCCATTGAAGCCACTTTTAGCCATTTCCACTAAAGGGGTTTGAGGATGAATTGCCTCTGATTTTCATTCCCATTTTAAATTAACACTTTTCCTGTTCCCACGTGGTAATTGTGCGTGTACATCAGACTTCTCCCAATATTGCTGTGTATAGATTATATTCAAAGATTGGGAAGCCTAGGACATTGGGCATGCAAAAATCCTGGTTTGTTCACTCATTGATTTTTATGTGCAGAATCGTCCAGTCATGGAGGTGGGAAGTCAACTTAATTAGGCAGGATTGTGGCATCACAGAATCCTGCTTCCATCCCACCTCTGTCTGAATTATGGTCTGGGAAGAAAGGCCCAAATTCAGCCTTTCATTGGATCTATTCCCACGTGGGCTACAGTAATCTCAACTCCAGTTGGACGAATAAGAGACAGACCACATGACTGGTAAACTCATACAGGTAGGCTGTCATTTGGCAGGAACAAGGGGTCAGGTCCCTCCATCTGTGCTAATTTGTGAACAGTTGAATGACTGGATACAGGGCAGGGCCACAAAGAGCTACCTGTCCCTGCACCCCCTCCCATATTCCCCAACCTCGGAATGCCTTCCAACCCCAAAAGGAAGACACTCAGCCAAGACCTTGGCCCTTGTGATTTTCAATGTCATCCAGGCAGCAGCCACACGCTTTGGTGACGCTGCCGAGTGTGGGAGCTGCCAGCCTCTTGTCTGCTGACAGTTCTTGCTGGGCAGGATTTCAGCTGCAGGAGAATTAATTTTCAAAGAAAGGCCCACTGCTGTCTTGCAGACTGCCTGATTGGAGGAAGATATA